CAGAATGAGTACAAATAGGTTTATAGTCAAGCAAGACACAAAATGCGATTCGTAACTTCACTTGTTTCCCAAGTAACCGCGTGCGCCTCGTTTCACCCCTAGTCGCACACGCAACCGAACCGAATTCGGTGAACACTCCGCAAGTCCGAATCCCGAACTTTCTCGAACGCGCCTTGGTCTCGAAGCACATTTTTCCCTCGTCAATCTCATTCTCGATGCTTCTCCTTCTCTCTCCCTCCTTCTAGCACATTTCTTCTCGATTTCTCTCCCGCTTCTCACGCCGTAGCCTCTATTCCCCGATTTCCACCGTTTCACACACGCGCTTCCATTTCGCCGTCATTTCCGCCGTCGTAGAATGCTTTCGCCTTAGGTTCCGTGGTTGGGCGAACCAGCCCTAACAAAAAGACAAGCAACATGAAGCCCCATTCAGCAGGACGAAGATTCATTGTTTCTAGGCTCCCCGGAAAAAGCTTTTGATAGCAAGAACCACTTTCACATGCTCCCCTGAACCTAGAACAGGCAAAACGACAAAATTCCATAGCTGTGGACGGTGCTGATTCATCCCCATATTCAATGACAGTCCTCACATCTCCCAATTACCTGATGCCAATAAACTACAAACTCCCACAATCATCACCAAAAAGTGTGACTCCGAAATGTAGCTGCGTAGCTAAGCTATCCAGGGGTTCTCTTTCAGTCCCTAATATATCCAAAAAGATTCTCTCGCAAATTTTAAAGACTACGGAACCTGTCCGTAATGTATCCAGAATGAGAGCTGAACAAATTTGTCCAGAAAGAGTTTTCAACAACACTTGAGGCGGAAGGTAGGCGGATCGTTACTTGCTGGGGTGCGTTATTATATGTTCCCCTTAATTGTCACCTGAAACATTGTTCTCCTTGAAACCCTCAGAACTTTCCCTTTGCCAACTCTTTTGCACATACCTGATTCACTACATTTGCCCTGGTGGCCAATTGGTTACAGGTCTCAGCTTTCGAGCAGCCTACTTCTCATCGTTTCGCGGAATATGCGTCACAACCAGGCTGCCTTCACACGCAGGGAAACCGGGTCCGCAGCTTGCGAAGTGGTTGCACCAAACCTCAAGACTGCTCATTTCTTGATACTGCACATTTATGCGCTTATGGAGTTGGTTCAGCCTTAAGCACAACTTTCGCTTGAAGCGACTTGAAGAACCTCTCTCCCCATCGCAACACTGCCCGCAGCTTCGATAACACCCGGAGAATCAAGCTTCGCTTTCAACAGACCGAAACTGGTCCTCCATTGCCTCAAGAGGCCTCACAAATCCCTCATCTCTCCCTCTCATCCCCTCTTATCTCTCTCTCTCCCCTGTAACTCCATTCCCAGTCAGAATAAAAGATGGCTGGTCGCTGCACCAGTGGAGTCTCCTTGGCTACGAGAGGCCCCAAGCACCCCTTCTCATCCACAACAAATTCCCCTGATGCTGCCGACGTCAGTGGTTCTTTCTCACCACCCTTTCTCTCCTCATGTCCCTCCCTCTCCGCCAATCCCAGCCAGAGCAACTTGCACTATTCCCGGCCGATGGCGAGTGGTTCTTCTTTGCAGCCCGCGACCTCAAGTACCCATCGGGGTCCCGATCCAACCGTGCCACAGCTGCTGGGTACTGGAAGGCCACTGGGAAGGACAGGCCAGTGCACGTGCAGTTTGCAGGCAACGAAGGAACAGAGGACCAGACAATCAGAGTGGGATTTAAAAAGACTCATGTCTTCTATATGTGAGTATCTTGTTCAGGTCTTTGGATTGTTTGGCCATATGAAGTTGCTGTTCCATCGCGTGTCTTGCCTGAGCTTCATTTCTTCTTTTAGGCTGGTTTGTTCCAAACTTGGATTGGTTATATTCAAATTTAGATTTTGTGAGCGTGTTCTATACGGTTCGGTTGGGCTGTTCTTCAGTTTGTTTGTGTGTGTGTGTGGTGTGTGTGTGTGTGTGTGTGTGTTGTGTGTGTGTTGTGTGTGTGTGTGTGTGTGTGTGTGTGCGCGCGTGCGCGCGCGTGCGTGCGGTGCGTGCGTGCGTGTGTGTGTGCGTGGGTGTGTGTGTGTATGTGTGCACGCGCGTGCGTGCGTGCGTGCGTGCGTGTGTGTGTGTGTGGGGTGTGTGTGTGTGTGTGTGCGCCGCGCGCGCGCGTTCGCGCGCACGTGCGTGTGGAATGAGGAAATGCTTGTTGAAAATGCCTTCCATTTAAATTATTTTTCTTCTTTAACTTCTTCTGTGTTGTGGCAACACGGGGCGGAGCGCCAGGAGGCGACAATACAGACTGGGTCATGCACGAGTACCCGGCTGACAGAGGACTCGCCTGTAGCTGTACCTGCTGCTACTGACGAGGCACATGCTACAGTCGCAGAAGTCGAATTAAACCCAGGATTAGCTGCAGGCCCAGCTTCTGCCCCATGAAAAGCATTGCAGAACGGTAAATACAGTAGGTGGTATCCGAGGCAGTACTTTCACTGGCTGGAACAGCAGCAGAGAAGATGAAACGTCCAACCCAGACACCCAAGGTCCAGGAGCTGGGGGTGGTGCAGGTGGTGCTGCTGCTAATGTAGGTGGTTCGGGTGCTGAGGGTGGTGCAGGTGGCTCTGCTGATGGGTGGGCTAGCCATTGCAACAACAGCAGCAGGCAGCCCCAAAGCCAGCAGTCCGGAGCGACAAACTGGCGGTGCGCAAAAAATTAACGTGGCGTCGTGGGTGGTTGTGCGGGTTCTCAAGCGAAGTTCCCTGACAGCTGAGGAGCAAGCGATGATGCCACTGCAGCGGATGGTGGCACAGCAAATGATGGTAGCGCAACAAGCAATGCATGCGCATCAAGCAATGATAATGCAGCAGCAGGGTGGGATGGTTGCTTTCCAGGCTGTGAATCCGTGGCTCTCGACGCAGCAGCAAGGGAGCAAAGAAAGAGCATAAACCAGGCTATGCTGGTGGGGCTAGGAGAAGCACATTTGGTGCTACTGGTAGTGAAGGCGGAGTGAGGAGCACAACTGGTGCTGGTGATGAAGTTGGAGCTTATGGGAGCGCAGGTAGAGCTAGTGGGAGCGCAGGTAGAGCAAGCAGTTCAGGAAATGAGTCACGCAGAGCCAGTGGAGGAGGAAGAAGCCCAAATAGTTCCGGAAGTAGCAGGAGCAGGAGCAGAGTGGGGGCACCAGTAGGAGCAATTGGCGCATGCAGTAATGGATGTAGCAGGAGCAGGGGCAGAACTGGGAGGCAACAGCAGGAGCAGCATTGATAGCAGCTGCAGTGCAGCAGGGGTTGTCTTTCCAAAAACAGCAAAGCAGTAGCGCAGCAGTGCAGCAAGGGTCTTTGTTCCAGCAGCAGCAAAGCAGCACCCAGCAGGCCAACAAGGGTCATCACAAGCAGTCTGTTGCAAGCAGCAGGAGCAACTGACGGTATTGCCTTCACCAGTTGCCACCGCTCCAAAAACAGCCACTTCCCTGCTTCACCTCCCCCTCCCCCTCACCCACACCCGCACCCACACCCAAACTCGCAATCTCAACAACACCCACTTCCAGCTTCCCTCTCTGGCCTCTCACAGAATCACAGATTCACCGAGCTGGTTACAGGGTTATATCTCAGCAAAGCCACGGTCACATCAACAAAGCAGTTACCAGCAGGTGATTGCAGGCCCTTCTTCCCCTTCATCTGCCCCTCTGCACCCGCTCCGTCCTTCCTCTTCTCCTTCAATCTCTGCATCCTGGTCAGGTGCCCCTCAGCCTAGTAAAATGCACACCCCAGCCATCCTTCCGGCGTTCACTGCTGCTAATCATGCTGCTGCAGCTGCTGATACGGCCGCTGCTGCTGCTGCTGTCGCTGGTGCTGCCGCTACTGCTACTCCTGCCGTGGCCTTTGCTGCTGCTCGTAGTAGTATTATCCCAGTTGGTGCAGCTGGGTCAGCTGGGCTATGTGACAGAGCAGCAGGTGAAGCAATCGGTTATCAAGATATGCAGCAACTGGCTGATCTCCTCAAATCTCTTCTAGGGAATCAGATCGACACCAGTGCACTTGCTGCAATCACAAGCCTTTCCCACTGCTTCTCCACTTGCTGCTTACAGCAGTTCTGATACAGCTCCTGCCCCTCCAACTCCTCCTCCTGATGTTGCTGCTGCTATTCCAGTTGCAGGCTGTTTCCGACCCTTTGGAGGCAATGTTTCAGTACCCTCATACTTCGCTGCACCACCCTCGACATCAGTCCAGCAGGGGAAAAGGCACAAGGCACAGCACGCAGTAACATTAGGCCACCAACAGCAGCAGCAGCAGCAGCAGCAGCAGCAGCAGCATGGCCAGTACCAGCAGCATCAGATGCTTCAGCAGCACCTGCCTCAGCGGCAAGGAATCTGTCACACCGTCCCTCTACCACTTCAGGCTCCCCTTCAAGGCGCCAACCAGTATGAAACGCCCTCTCATGCCTCCTACACCCAGTTGTTGCAAGGGGCGTTGGAGGGACACGGCGAGCAAGGGAGGTTAGACGTGAGTAGCTCGGGTGACAGTCTGCTGCATTCCAGTGTGTGGGACAGAGGTGCGGCAGAGGTTTCTGGAGGAAGGATGGATGGAGAGAGGAAAGGAGGAGGAGAAAATGGCGGGGTCGGTGGTTTGGAGGCGATTTTTCGGCTCACCAGCACGTATGGAGGAGCACGGGGTTCTGGGATGGTGCACAGAGAAAGCTGTCTTGCCGGGACGGGTGGGAGTTGCAACAGCAGGAGTGGCAGCAGCAGGGGTGGCAGCAGCAAGGGTGGCAGCAGCTTCTGTGAGAGCTGGATTAACCAGGGAACAATCAACTGAGGAAGATTTAACTGGGGAAGAATTAACTGGGGAAGAATCAACTGGGGAAGAATTAACTTGGGAAGAATCAACTGGGGAAGAATTAAGTGGGGAAGAATCGACTGGGGAAGAATTAAGTGGGGAAAAATCAACTGGGGAAGAATTAACAGGGGAAGAATCAACTGGGGAAGAATTAACTGGTGCAGGTGTTATGGCAGTAGGGGGTGGGGTTTCAGTGGCAGGGGTAACTGCAGCAGCGATTGGAGGAGGGGACCTGCTGACATCGCTAGATGGGTTGGAGCTAGCAGATTTAGAGGCGCTTCTACTGAATGTGGAGGGAGAGTTGGAATTTATCAGCAGCAGCATGGTCAGCGAGTTCAGCCAGCCTCACAGCCAGCCTCCTAGTAGCAGCACTGTCTGCACCATTGAGCCCATTAGCAGTGGCATGGCCATCAGCCAGCCGCACTGAGGGACTGGCACCATCCGTGGCAATGGGATCATCTTTATTTACGCCCATGCATGGTGGGTCTGAAGGCTCGTTTGCATCAGAGGAGGGGTTTGCTGCGGTCATGGCTGCTTGTCACACTGCCAGTGCCACTGGTAGCAGCGACCGCATGTGTTCTAAGAGGCAAGGTGCTCTGTTGCTGCCAACAACAACTTCTCCCGGCTCTGGGAAGTGTGTCACTGGATCGGACACAGGCAGATGGAGCAGCAGAAGCAGGAGATAAATCAGTGGTATCAGCAGCAGGAGAGGCAAGGGCTGCAACTGCAGGCAGGATTGTTGATGTATCTGGGGATTCACAAATGGGGAATCTGGGATTGAGCAGTAGTAAGGGCACTGGAAGGAAGCTCTCTCCCAAAAGGAGTCGTGAAGAGGGCGGCTGATGCTTGCCAAGAGGAAATATTTTGTAGGAGCCTTTGTATCTCTTGGGGCTGTTAGTGTACATAGAGTGTGTCAGATTTATATGACATAGCTACTGTAGGCTATAGTGGGGTAGCACATATGAGGTACAGTTTTCTAGGGTTTGCTTTTGTACCAACTTTCCCTTAGTCAATTCATTTTCCTCATTTTCTTCACATGGTATAGAGCAGGTTCCCTAGTGGGAACGCTTCCTTGGGCCCACCACTGAAACCTTTTTTTTCTAACCGGAGCGACAGTCGCTCCTGCCCGAGGCGCGCCTTGTGGGCCGCCCTTCTGTCGAGCTCTCTTAGAGGCCCCTCTCACGGCCCCTCGCGCCACCCTTAGCGGCCCCGTCGCCGCCCTAGCGGCCCAGTTGCCGCCCTTCCAGGCCCCTTGCGGCCCCTAGCGGCCCCATTGCCCGCCCCTACGTGGCCCCGTAGCCGTCCCTACGCGGCCCTGTCCGCCGCCCCTACGCGGCCCCGTCGCCGCCCCTAGCGGCCCCGTCGCCGCCTCCCTCCCTACGCGGCCCCGTCGCCGCCCCTACGCGGGCCTCGTAGCCGCCCCTACGCGGCCCCGTCGCCGCCCCTAGCGGCCCCGTCGCCGCTTCCCTCCCTACGCGGGCCCCGTCGCCGCCCCTACGCGCCTCGTAGCCTCCCCTACGCGGCCCCGTCGCCGCCCCTAGCGGCACCCGTCGCCGCTCCCCGCCCCTAGCGGCCCCGTCGCTAGGCCCCTACCCGGCACCCGTCGCCGCCCCTAGCGAGCAGCCGAGCCGCCGAGCCGCCCAGCAGCTGAGCCGCCGAGTCGCCCAGCAGCCGAGCCGCCCCTGGAGCAGCCGCCACTGCAGCAGCCGCCCCTGGAGCAGCCGCCACTGCAAGCAGCCCGCCCCTGGAGCAGCCGCCACTGCAGCAGCCGCCCCTGGAGCAGCCGCCACTGCAGCAAGCCGCCCCCCGGAGCAGCCGCCACTGCAGCAGCCGCCCCTGGATCAGCCGCCTCTGGAGCAGTCGCCCCTACAACTGCCGCCCCTGGAGCAGCCACCCCTGCAGCTGCCGCGAAGCTCTCGCTCTACAGTGGTAGCGGCCTCGCCGTTGCCGCCGTCGTACGCCTGCCCTTCTCGCCACTGGTGAGCACTTGCCCTGCCCGTACTGCTGTTACTGCTGCTCTTACTGCTGCTGCTCTTTCTACTGCTACTTGGCTGCTCCTGGCGTGGCCAGGATGCAGCTCCAGCGTCGCCCGCGAATACCACAAGGCTGAAGAACGACCAGGTGAAGAACGACCTGTACATTGGACATCTGAGAGAGAAGATGATATATATTCGGATGGCGAGGAGGAGTCAGCGACGGACTACTGCAACCGTGCTTGACGGATCCTTTGCTGAGATGCAGATGACGGGCGCTGAATACTCTACGGTGTCCTACATCACCCATGTTCTCAAGGGCCTACCGCGCAGCTACAACCTCATGAAGAGGATGACGATGGTGCCCGGCACCCGTGAGTCCCTCGACGAGGACTCCCTCACCAGCTACATCCTCCAAGATGAGGCGATGCAAGAGGCAGAACACCCCACGGAGCTCCTTTCGCAGGCAAGTTACGCTGCACCGACGAAGCAAAATTGTCAGCAGGAGCAGCGCGGGAAGCTGGGCGGAGGTGGGTAGCAGGGGTGGGCGGTCAACGAAGGACGTCGACGAGAAGAGATCGACGCGGGACAAGGGCCGTAGAGGTGGTCGACGGCGGGAGTGCTAGATCTGCCACGACCCCGACCATCTTTCCTACGAATGCCCCGAACGCGACGACAGCGACGAGGACGACAAGAAGGGAGGCCGTGGTCGATCGGCCAGTCGTCGCCCTTGTCGAGATGCAAAGCCCCGCAAGGAGAAGCAGACGTCGAAGACGACATCGTCGACGAAGGACGGCGACAACTGCAGCAGCAAGGGCCGAGACGACGGGGAGGCGTCATGCTCGATGGTCGGCTTGGTGGAGTCGACAGCCTCGCTAGCACCGGAGGCTGGCGAGGACTTCCAGGCGGTGGCGGCAGCTGTGCAAGCCAACCCGATGGCAGTACTGCTTGACAGTGGTTGCTCCCACCACCTGATGGGGACGAAGGCGGTCTGTGTCGACATGGCGCCGAGCGACAGTGTGAAGCACGTGTGCGGCTTCAATGGGGCGTTGCAGCTTGTCAAGTATCGTGGAATCGTCGCTCTGCAAGGGGAGGCAGGGAAGCGGGTCCTTATCCCCGACATGCTCTACGTTCCTGGAGTACATGCGAACATGTTGTCAGCTGGCCAACTTAAGGAGAGCGGAGTGCAGCTGCAGGGCGATGGAGACGAGATGCTGCTCGTCGCCGCGACCGGGGAGGTGCTCGTCGAGCCCGCTACAACGGACGAGTCCTCTGCACCGACCTTCGCCCCTGCTCGACGCGGTCCCAGTCGACCGAGGTGGTGGCTCTGCGGACGATTGTCTCGGCGACGAAGTCGACCCCTGACCGGTTGCACTCGAGGCTCGCGCACATCAGCATCGACACGATCAAGATCTCGGCGAGGCATGAAGTTGCTACTGGGCTCGACACCAAGCCGTCAACCATAGTAGACCCGCCGTGTGTCTCGTGCGTCGGAGGAAAGCTGGCGCATCACACCTTCCCCGACAAGGGCTCGGACGTCGAGGAGGCACTAGCTGTCGTGCAAATTGACTTGTGCGGGCCATTTCAGGTAGCTGCCAAGGATGGCAGCTTGTACTTCCTGCTGCTGAAGGATTTTCACACTCGGTTTGTGTGGGTGATGCTGGTCGCTAAGAAGAGCGACGTGCTGCGGGAGTTCCAGAAGTGGCTGGTGCTAGTGGAACGGTAGGAGAAGAAGTCGGTGCTGATGCTTCACTCAGACCGGGGAGGGGAGTTTCTTGGGAAGGATTTCACCGACTTCGTCGACGGAAGGGGCATCATCCACGACTTAACATGCCCTTACACTCCAAAGCAGAACAGCTTTGTGGGAGATGCGCACAGCCGTCGATTCCCGCGCGGACAATGGTGTTGCACATGGGCGTGCAGCACCACTAGTGGCAACCTCGCTCTACGACAAGCTATCTGGGTGTGCAACTGCTTGGAGCGGTTGATGATGCTGCCGGGGACGACGCCATATCAGCGTGCTGACCGGGGAAGAAGCCCGATCTCATGTTGGCACGGGTGTGGGGCTACATGGTGCAGTTCATGGTCCCTAAGCAATAGCGCGGTGGGAAGCTGGCGCCGAAGGCTCACTGGGGGCTTCACCTGGGCGTGTCGCCGGAGAGTAAGGCTGGGAGGGCTCGACCTGACCGACAACAAGGCGCACAACGAGGTTCTACGAGACACTGTCGCTGGAGGTGTGGAAGGCGAAGTATGGGCCGGCGTCGGGGTGGACGAAGGCAAACCCGCCGACGGACACATCGACGGCGACGGTCCCACTACTCGTCGAGGTCAACGAGTCTGCTGATGAGGATGTCATGGAGGTTCTTCCTCTTGCAGATCGGCCTGCGCCGACACCTGTGTCGGCCACCAGCGATGAGGGGAGCCTTGAGGCGTCGCCTGTAGCGCCAGCCAGTGGCATCGCCGGCGGCCGACAAGGCGCCAAGCTCCTCGACAAGGAGGTGTAGCCTTCGAAGACGGGGGGAGCAGCAGACGGGGGAGCCAGTCAAACAGGAGGCAGCAACAGGGGTGCAGTCGACAAGGGAGCAGCAGACGGGGTAGTCGACAGGGGAGCTGTCAAAGTTTGTAGGAGGGGAGCCGCCGGTCGAAGGGTCGAAGTAGCCCGTCAATGACGAGGACGTCGATGACGAGGGGGAGCAGTCGGCGAGAGAAGAGTCCACCGACAGCGATGTGGTTGAAGTTCTGGTCAAGTAGCCTAAGTTGCGACACACACGTCGAGCTCGAAAGCCACTGGAGCGGCTGGTCTTCCATGCTTGCCTGCCACCAGCTGCCTTCACCACGGTGTACGACAGCGCTCAGGATGACCTGCTGTATGACGACGCTGAAGATGACGTTGACCTGCCGGAGCTCGACCCCGACGTACATGCTGACCCTGAAAATCGCTGGGACATCGTCACGATGACAGTGATGGAGGCGCTGGCGAGCTGGAAGGGCGAGGCGGTGAAGGCCGCCATGGAAGAAGAGATCCGCAGCCTCATCGGCATGGGCACCTGGGAGCTGGTCGAACGCCTACGTGGGGTGAACATCATGAAGAACCGGTGGGTGCTGACGACCAAGTACCGCATCGACGACACCGTCGAGTGCGAGAACGCAAGGCTGGTCGTGAAGGGCTTCACGCAGGTGTACGGCACTGACTACGACGAGACGTACTCGCCGGTGAACAGCTACGTCACGCTGAGGATCTTCCTGAGCATCGTTGTCGTCCTCGACCTCAACCTGATGCAGTTCGACATGAAAAACTCTTTCCTGCAGAGCAAGCTCGACCGGGTGCTGTACATGTACCAGCCGGACTACTTCGACGATGGGACCGGCCGGGTGTGCAAGCTGCTGAAGAGCCTCTACGAGCTGAAGCACTCGCCGCTGCTGTGGTACAGGGCTGTTGACAGCCTGCTGCTGG